CAATGACTGACAGGCGCTTTGTAGTAGAGGAGGCCCACAATGAATGTGTCTCTACTAAAGAAACACTGGTTAGCTGCGTGAAAAACAGAATATTAGAGGCAGTTCAGTCCAAGCAAGTCAACTACCACTCCTGTGAACAACTGCAAACTTTACTGAGCAGCTTGGCAAATCAGTTTAGCTTTCAGTTTAATTATATAGCTTCAAATTACAACAAAAGTCATCAAAAAGAAGAAACAGGTCAAGTCTAAGTAAACATAGTCCAACCCCAGAACTTACTTTAAATAGAAAGACATCCAGCAGAACCAGGGGCAAAAAAAGAGGGGCCTTCTGCCTTGACCAGTTGAGTATGAGAAGACCAACAAAGAAAAAAGTGCCAGGACAGGAAATTTGCTGTTTGAAGGAAAATATACACAAAACCACAATAGTAAAAATGACATATGTGAATGCTTATTGCAGAAAACCTTATATGTGAATGCTTATTGCAGAAGAACTTGCTGAGAAACAGCTGAAATTAGCTAAAATACATTCTGAATTGCAGCTGAAATGGAAGAACAAGACAAAATTAGCAGATGAAAGCAGAAAAAAAACATATTTGCTGAATTAAGGTTCAATAAGCAGAAATGAGTGCAAAAATGACAAAAACAAATGCTGAATTTAGCAAACAATAGCTGAAAAGTAGCTGAAAAAAGCAAAAATAAGCTTACACTATTAGGAAGTGGAGCGAGATTAAATTAGTAAAAAAAAAAATTAAAAAGTGGAAATAGCTGAAAAAGCTAAAATTAGCATAAAACTGCTAAATAGTAGCTGAAACAGTATAAAAAGCTGAAACTAGCAGAAAAAAGCTGAAAATATCAGAAAGAAGTAAATTAGGCTGAAAATACCAGAAATTACCACAAAAAAATGAATTTATCTGAAAACAGCTAAAATTAGCTGAAAATGCTAAAAGGGTAGCCAAAAATGTTTAACAGAAGAAATGAAAAAGAACAAGTTTGCCCAATTAGGCTGAAAAAAGCTGAAATTAGCAACAACAACAAAAGAAAAGTAGCTAAAAATGAGAAATAAGCTTAAATACCCAGAAGGAAGTGGAGCGAGCACATTTTTGCTGAAATAGGCTGAAAACATTTAAATGAGTGCAAAAAATGTGGAATTAGCTGACAAAGCTAAAATTAGCATAAAAACAGCTAAATAGTAGCTGAAATAGAAGACAAAGCTGAAACTTGCAGAAATAAGCTGAAAGGAGCATAACAAGCAGAAATTAACATAAAGAAGCACAGAATTGTTGTAGTTAGCAAAAATAATCTTAAAGAAGCACAAAACAGCTGAAAAACAGCTAAAAGTAGCTGAAAGTAGCTGAAAAATTGCTTACATTTGCACAAGGAAGCTGAAAGAAGCTGAACCAGAACAAAATGTGAAAGGAGCAGTAAAAAATTGTAAACAGATCTAAAGATCTGAAGGATGTAAAATGAGCTCAGTTATTTTTCTATGAGGAGAAAAGTGGCAGAAAAGGCTAAATATTTCAAAAAGCTAAAGTTGCACCAATACCAACAATCATAGCAGGATTATCCTGAAAAAGTTAAACATTTTGATTTTTGGTTTGTTGAAATAGCTTGAAAACCAGGTGCGATGGGTTAAATACAGAGAACCAATTTTGCCATTGTATGGGAACATGCAGTGATGGCAACACATAGCACTTATATTACTTATCTTAAAACTGTGGGACGAGAATTGTGCCAAAAAAAGTAGAAGAAAAATGGATCACAATAGTGTGAATGTTTCTTAAACATTCACACAAGAAGAAGAAGAGGAAGAGAAACAACATGCCTGCTCGTTTTAACAAAAATACTGTCTGAAGAAACTTGCTGCTTAGACAGTTTATCACTCGGGGACCACAAGGACATAAAAACTGCATCCAATTCTTGGTGAAAAATTACACAAATTTTATTCTTCTTATTCTTATTTTTAATTTTTAGATAGACCGTTAACAAATCAGCACATCTTCACCGCCTGTGGTTGTAGTGAAAAATCTAGACCTCTGATATATTGTTGTAGGTGCACACAAACTGTTGTCTACATGAATGCAAAAAATCATGACAGCCTGTTTTCCTCTTAGTGTTGAGTGATTTTACCTTCTTAAAACAAACTGTGAGCTTGTTTCACAAGTGATGAGCCTGGAAACTGAAAAACCGGCCTCTTATTCTACTTTTACATACCGGTACTTTATAAACAGCAAGTCCTAAGCCTGAAGTGTACGAGTGAAGTCTTTGTTTGATGTGTGGAGCACGTCCGTATTGTGGAGCGAGTTTGCAGTTTCCTGATGCATGCTCAATAATCCAGGTAGAAAATCTATAAAAGGTAAATCTGGTCCTCTGGACATTCAAAAAACAAAACAAAGCAAAACAACAAAAAAATGTAGAAACGTTTCGACTTTCATCCAAAAGACTTCCTTGACCATGTGAGCAGCTGGTTTTGGTTGTCAGCAGCAAAACTGGAAAGACTAAACATTTCTACATTTTTGTTTTGTTGATGTTTTGCTTCGTTTTGTTTTTTGAATGTCCAGAGGACCAGATTTACCTTTTTTAGACAAGTTTGCTGTTTTCACTGTTTGTTGTTTTCACTGTTTGCAGCTGTTCTATTTCATCCCTCCTGACCGCCAGAGGGCGGTGCTGAAAGCACTGAATGTTCCCTTCGCGCATGCGCTGATTCGAGTAATAATACCAACGGAGTCACAGGTGTGACACGGATGACCAATCAGAGGCTATATAGCCCGACGTCATCCGCTGCTCTGCTCCTATTTTCTTCTCGCGCGCGGTTCAATTCAGGGCTTCAGCCCTTTGGACCTTTTCTGAACTTTTTACCGTCGTCGGAAGCCCGACTGCCCGTCTGCGGGAGTAGCGTGTTCGCCCTCCTAGGGCTGCGACGGTTTAACCCTGTTCAAAGGTATTTCTGCTGTTTCGTTGGGAACTACGGCGGTTTCCGCCTCTCCCAAATTACAGCGTCTGACTACTATGTGTGTGATTCAACACCGGTGAGTAGTTTTCCTTATATTTCGCCGTTGGTTAGCGGTAGCGTTCGCTCCGCTCACGCTTGTTAGGAGACCTCCAACCGCGTGGTCGGCTGGACTGTGCTCCGACGTTGTTTATGACTACTATGTGTGTGATTTAACACTGGTAAGTAGTGGTTTTTTGCTTATATTTTGCTATTTGGTTAACGGTAGCGTTCGCTCCGCTCTTGTTTACTGGAGGCCTCCAACCGCGTGGTCGGTTGGACCGTGCTCCGAAGTTTGTTTATTACGTAGCCAGCTGAGTTTCTGGCCTTGTTTTATTTGGTGAAGGCGAGTGTTCTCACCCCCTCTCCCAATTGTCCTCTTACCAGCTGAGCTAGTGGTGCTAGCTTCTCTGAGTTCTAACCTTGTTTTCATTGGTGAAGGCGAGCGTTCGCGCCCCCTTTCCCAATTGTCCTCTTTTACCAGTTGAGCTAGTGGTGCTAGCCTCTCTGAGTTCTAACCTTGTTTTCATTGGTGAAGGCGAGCGTTCGCGCCCCCTCTCCCAATTGTCTTCTTTTACCAGTTGAGCTAGTGGTGCTAGCCTCTCTGAGTTCTAACCTTGTTTTAATTGGTGAAGGCGTGTTCTCACCCCCTCTCCCAATTGTCCTCTTACCAGCTGAGCTAGCGGTGCTAGCCTCTCTGAGTTTTGACCTTGTTTTGATTGGTGAAGGCGAGCGTTCGCGCCCCCTCTCCCAATTGTCCTCTTTTACCAGCTGAGCTAGTGGTGCTAGCCCCTCTGAATATCTTGGGCATAGCTGGGTAAGGAGCATGGACGGCTCTCACTGCTGTACAGTCTGTGGAGCCATGCTCCAGATAGAAGACGGTCACGACCTGTATCCTGCCTGCCTTGGACATGACCATCTGGTGGATGCCCTGTCAGAGAACCCCTGCATGAATTGCAGCTTCATGTCGCATGCTGTGAGGGCGGCCCGGCTGGCCCAGTTTCGCCCCAAACTCGGCGATGACCTCCCGCCTTCTGGGCAGGAGGCTCCACCTAGGCGCTCGAAGCGCCGGACTGAGGCCGCAGTCTCTGTGGCCCCTCCTGGGAAGAAGCGAGCCAGGTCTGATAGGGGCCTCTCCACAAGGGTGGAGCAGCTCTCCGCTGAATTAGCGGAGATGAAGTCCCTTTTTCAGGTACACCAACTGGGAACTGAACCAGTGGCAGCAACTGGACTCTCCTCCCCACCCATGCCTGAACTGGCTGTGGAGGAGGATGTGCTATCCTTGGCTGCCTCTGCCTCTCACTTTTTAGGTGAGGAGGACGGGCATTCATCTCGAGTCTCAGAGACAGCTTCACTCTCTTCTTCTCAGAGTGCAGTTAGTGGGTCGGGTGACGGCTCGATGCAGGACATTATGCGTATGGCCCTGAGACAACTGCAGCTGGACGTCCCGCAACCAGAGGCGTCCACCCCTGGAAGTGCCTTCTTCAGGCGCGGACTGACCCCTCCTTCCTTTTCTGTCCCTCCATCAGAGGAGTTCCTGAGGGAGTTGCATGGTTGCTGGCGGGACCCCAAGGCCTTTGCGCGCCTCTCTGCAGATGGCAGAGTGTTGGCGGCCATGCATGAGCCGGCTGCAGCAGGCTTGGATCGCATGCCAGCGATAGAACCTGCTGTTGCCTCTCTCATCGTGTCACCAGATGAAGCTCTGCGCAGTCATGTTCGGTGCCCACGAGCTCAGTGTCGTGTCACGGATGAATTCCTCTGCAGAGCCTATGCCGCCGGAGCGCGTGCTGGCCGCCTAGGTAATTCCTTGGCACACCTAATGCTTGCCCTCTCCGCGTCCCTTCAGGGGACTAGTTGTGCGACAGCAGCGATGGGCTTTAACGATGCAGCGCTTCAGGTCTTTGCACTAATGACGAGGGAGCTTGGGCGTGTGATGTCCTCCTTGGTCCAAGCTCGCCGACAGGTCTGGTTAGCTCAGTCAGCATTGACTGAGCCATGCCGTAGAGCCCTCCGTAATGTCCCAGTGGTGCCGGGGGAGTTGTTCGGTTCGGCTGCCTTGGAAGCACTGGAACGGACTGTCCAGGCACGACAGAGAAGGCAGCAATTTTCGAGCCTTAGCAGGCCAATGCCCCCTCCACCTCCTCGGCATCCAAGGCGCCTGTCGGCTGGCTCCAGCATGCAGCCGCCGCCTGGGGGTCATAACCGGCCGGGTGGTCCTTACCCTCATGCGGTTCAGCAAAGGCCCAGCAGGAGCTCTCGTGGGTTGGTCCACCGACCAGCTGGGCAGGCTCGGACCAGGGACTCTGGCTGCCGCCCCCCCACGGCCCCTAGGGGTCGTGGAGGGAGACGGTGATGCCATCAGGCCGACCGTCGGATATTTCTCCCACCAGCAGCTCAGCTATTGGGTTGCTCACGCCGTGGACCCATGGGTGGTTGCCACTCTGACCCATGGTTACCGGCTACAGTTCCGACGGCGGCCTCATATCTCACGCCGGGTCAAGATGACTGTAATCGCCGACTCGGTGAAAGCTCAAGCACTAGACCAGGAACTTTCCGCCCTCCTGGCCAAGGGCGCAATAGAGGCAGTGGACCCTCTGCAACAACCCAGGGGCTATTACTCGACTTACTTCCTTGTGCAAAAGAAGACGGGCGGGTTTCGTCCCATTTTAGACCTGAGGGGACTCAACCAGTACCTAAAGGAGCTGCCCTTCCACATGCTCACAACAGCAGAAGTCCTTCAAGCTGTCACAAGGGAAGAATGGTTCACGTCTGTAGACCTGAAGGATGCATATTTTCATGTGCCTATTGCGGCAGAACATCGCCGCTTTCTCAGGTTTGCCTATCGGGGTCACCACTGGCAGTTCTGGGTACTTCCATTCGGGCTCTCTCTCTCCCCAAGGGTGTTCACTCGGTGCGTGAAGGCAGCCCTCTCTCCTCTGCAGGCCTGCGGAGTGAAGATTTTGCCGTACTTAGACGATTGGCTTCTCTGCGCCCCGTCTCAGGCCTGTGCCTTTCACGACACAAACCGCCTGCTCGCTCATATGTCCCAGTAAGGCCTCAATGTCAACCTGGAGAAGAGCTGCCTGATCCCTTCCCAGACGACCACCTTTCTTGGGGTGGTTCTGGATTCATCTTCAATGAGAGCTCGCCCATCCGCTCAAAGGGTGGCCGGCATACTCCAGCTGGTCAATCGGTTCAGGCTGGGCAAGCAGCTCCCCTATGTTGCCTTCCTGCAACTACTCGGCAAGCTGACATCAGTCACTCGGGTGGTGCCCTTAGGCCTGCTGTCACTTCGCCCCTTGCAGAGGTGGCTCAACAGCTTTCGCCTGGATGCCAGGCTGCACAGGCATCGCAAGCTCGCAGTGACGTGGTCATGTCTTCATGCCTTGACTCCATGGAGGGACGAAGATTATTTGTCCAGGGGTGTCCCCATGGGAGTGGTAGTGTGTCGCAGGGAAGTGGTCACAACGGATGCCAGCTCCATGGGATGGGGGGGCTGTATGGCAACGCAGAGCGGTTCAGGGCCGCTGGGGTCAAAGAGACCATTCCAAGCATATAAATGTGCTGGAGCTGCGTGCAGTGCACTTGGCACTCAGGCACTTCCTGCCTCACCTGGAAGGGAGGCATGTACTTGTTCGGTCAGACAACACCTCTGTTGTCTACCACATCAACCATCAGGGGGGCACCAGGTCAGCACAACTTCTGAGTGTGTCCAGAGAGCTCCTGGAATGGGCCTCTCCTCGCCTGTCCACCCTGCGGGCAGCGTACTTGCCAGGGCGACACAATCAGGTCGCAGATTTTCTCTCCCGCCAAGAGTCCCCTCCGGGAGAGTGGTCCCTCCACAGAGACATAGTGCTGATGATCTGGGACCGTTTTGGTCAGGCAGAGATAGACCTGTTTGCGACGGAAGAGTCGACTCAGTGTCCCCTATGGTACTCTCTTACGGGGGCGTCGGGTGCGCTAGGCCAGGACGCATTGGCTCATCCTTGGCCAAGGGTCCTTCTATATGCCTTTCCACCCCTTTCTCTAATTTGGCCAACCCTTCAGAGAGTCCTCGAGGAGGGCCACAGGATGCTGCTGGTGGCTCCGTATTGGCCAGCGCGACCATGGTTCCCACTGCTACGAAGTCTATGTCAGGGCGTCCCATGGTGTCTTCCGACCAGAAGGGACTTGCTGTCTCAGTTGGGGGGACTGATATGGCACCCCAATCCTCAACGTCTTCGGCTGTGGGTGTGGCCACTGCAAGGCTAGGACAGCAGCTGACTGGAGTTTCGAGCCCCGTCAGACGCACCATCCTGGGCGCCAGGGCACCCTCTACTCGTCAGCAGTACGAAAACAGGTGGCGCCTGTTTTCCCAATGGTGTTCGGATCACAACAAGGATCCAGTCTCCTGTACAATACCCACCATTCTGGAGTTTCTCCAGTCTCTACTTGGTAAGGGTCGCTGTCCTTCAACGCTTAAAGTTTATGTAGCGGCAATATCATCTAATCACGCTGGCATTGATGGCTGTACAGTAGGGAGCCATAATCTAGTCTCTCTTTTTCTGCGTGGTGCCCGTAGGTCACACCCGCCGACAGCTCCACGAGCACCAGGTTGGGACCTTCCCTTGGTTCTCGAAGCTCTGTGCCGTCCTCCTTTCGAGCCTCTGTCGCAGGCGGACCTCAAGTGGCTTTCATGTAAGACGGCTTTTTTGTTGGCTATTACCTCAGCAAAGAGGGTCAGCGAGCTACATGCTCTCTCAATCAGCCCCTCATGTCTCAGGTGGGGCCCTGAGGGCTCGTGTGTTACCTTGTGGCCAAACATTGCATTCGTACCAAAGGTGTTATCTCACTCTCACTCTAACCAACCGTTGAGGCTGGCACGTTTTCAGCCTGCGCCTGGTGAGGGGTCTGCATTATTGTTCCCGGTAAGTGCACTGGAGGCATATGTTGCAGCTACTGCCGTGATAAGACATTCAGAACAGCTGTTTGTGTGTTATGGAGGCCCTAGGTTAGGCTGTCCTCTTTCCAAACAGCGCCTCTCCCACTGGATCGTGGACGTCATCTGCCACGCCTATGCTGCAGGGCCCGGCTCCCTCCCGGTCGGCTTGAAGGCTCACTCTACCAGGAGCGTCTCCGCTTCCTGGGCTGCCCTGAGAGGGGTTCCGCTGGAAGCAATATGTGCTGCTGCATCATGGGCTTCCCCAAGCACGTTCACCAGATTTTATAGAGTTAACGTGGCCACCCCTCATCCCCTGGGCCAGGTTCTTCTACAAGGGTCCTCTGGGCCTCCTCAGTGAGGTAGGTGTTAGGATTCCTTGTGACATCGTTGATATTAGTCATTCAGTGCTTTCAGCACCGCCCTCTGGCGGTCAGGAGGGATGAAATCGAACGAAAGTTACGTATGTAACTACGGTTCTATGAATCCCGGATGACCGCCAGAGCTTCTCCGTCACTCAGAATCCTTGCGTTTCGCGAGAAGATTCTGTAGGAGCAGAGCAGCGGATGACGTCGGGCTATATAGCCTCTGATTGGTCATCCGTGTCACACCTGTGACTCCGTTGGTATTATTACTCGAATCAGCGCATGCGCGAAGGGAACATTCAGTGCTTTCAGCACCGCCCTCTGGCGGTCATCCGGGATTCATAGAACCGTAGTTACATACGTAACTTTCGTTTTCACTGTTTGCAGTTGTTTTCAATGTTTGCAATTGTTTTCACTGTTTGCAATTGTTTTCACTGTTTGCAGTTGTTTTCACTGTTTGCAGCTGTTTTCACTGTTTGCAGTTGTTTTCA